AAACAACCTGAGTAGTATATATATCAAATCCACTTGTACATTTTTGTTTTAGGATGCACTCCAGAAATTGACTGAAATTCTCAATTTAAATGGAGAAGTAGCTTGCCAGGACTCAGGCCATCCTGCCAAACACAGGAACACATCTGCAGTCCTAGGCTGCTTGGCCGAAAAACTAGCAGGTAACTCTGGGACACTCCACAGAGGAAGATCTTAAGTTGTCTGACATTAAGGGGAAATTTGTACTGCAGGTCTTTGATTGAACCTGCTATACCAGAAGGAAGTGTTTCAAAAATAGATAAATAAATAAATAATTGAGGGACAGGGACTAATTGAAAGAAAATTACTAGAAGGCCACAGAGGAAAATGCAACCTAATTTAGCTTTGTGGATTTTCAGAGGGAAATTTAAAAGAAAAAAGTTGTACTTATGTCCTTTAAAATTAAGAATAAGGGAAAAAGTTAAATTCAGCATAACAAAGATTATATATGTATGTAATAATATATAATAAATATACACACACTCTTAATAAAATTTAGCTGGATTATAAAGGCATACAAAGTTGGGGAAGAAGAAAAGTAGATTGGAACAATTCCTGAGAAGCATATATTTAATTTATTTATGAATATTACCCATTTTAGGAAAGTTAACAACAAAGTACAGGTGCATAGCTCAGCTAGTTACACCATGTGTCATGGAAGAAAAAAACGGATTAGAAATCAGAACCCACGGGTGCTGGTTCAGACTCTGCCATGTGCTCCCCAAGTGCCCTGGATTTAGTCACTTCTGTGGGCTCTGTTGCTCAACTGTGAGGTGGGGATGATACTATTCCCTACCTCAGAAAAGGAGGCTTGAATAAGATAATGTGTGTGAGAGTACTTTGTACAGGTTCTACCAAAACAATTTGATTATTATTACTGATTAAAAGCAATATGGCACTTTTAATTATATCAAGTGTTTGTTGTATTTGTCTAGGTCCTGCGAGTATAGGTTTACTTAGCCCAGGAATACTGGAATATTTGCTACAGTGTCTGGTAAGTGAGACATCAAAGCTACTTATTCTTATTTATATAGAAGTGTACGTTTTCTCAAATTGCCGGCAAATTCACTGGCACAGAGAATGGAATCAGTTGTAAATTCTATTTGCAGGTGTTTCCTGAGTATTTATTTCCTCCTATGTTTACAAAAGAGAGAGAGAGGGTAGGATAGGAATTTATTACAAGCAAAAACAGCTGAGTTGGTCTGGTTTTAAATTTAGTCTTAACATAGCTGCTATGATTGACTTTTTTGTGTGTCCTTAGAGTCTGCCAAGTAGTAATAGGGACATCCACAGTGGAAACAAAATTACATGGCATTACAAGCCAGGAGCCCATCAGGTCAGATTCCCAGTGTATATAAATCTCTAATCCTCCCCGCTCTCCCTCTCACTGCTACTGCTCTTAAAACTGTTGTCTCTGGAGTATATAATATATTGTCTGTAAAGCTTGTGGTTTGCTGAGGCTATGCCTTCAGATCTCTCATAGCACTAGACTGCAGTCTTGAGGGGTCTGTATTTTTTAAAGTTATTTTTGTAGGTCTAATGAGCATTGGCCTTTTTCAAAACTCAGATCTGAAAGACCTTATTTTTCAGTACCTATGTGATATGTGCTTAAAACACTTATACTACTCTAAGTGAGCACCATGGGAATATAGAAGTAGTATGACAATCCTTTGCCTTCATTAACTGTACTTGTTAGTTTAGAGAACAAAACTACTTGAGACAAGACAGTTAGCCTCTATTTTATGGCAGAATGTTATCAAGGACAAAATTACTTTGTCCAGACTAAGTGCCATAAGACTTCAGAGAATGTGAGGGAGATATGTGGTATAGGTGGTGAGAGCTGGGATAGGTATGAAAGACAGACTTCTGACGAAGGTGGATCTTCAGCTGGGCCATGCCATAAGGTTAGCATTTGATCGTGCCCAGAGGAGGAAAAAATGTTTTTTTGTGTTTCGTTTTGTTTTGTTTTTCGGCTAAGGCAGAAGCCCAGAGACAGAGAATTGTCTGGTCAGAGAAGACAGTGTTCAGAGATAGGAGGGCCACAGACTGAGCAGCCAGGTGGAGAGGGTTTGGGGCCTGAGAAGCCAGGCAGAAGAGATTGAGAATGGCTGTGGGAGGAAACAGGATGCTGAATAGGCTTTGCAGCAGGGGAGGACGGTGGTTATGTGAGCTTTGCAGAACTTAGGTGGGCACCAGGGAAGTGAGTGGGAATCTCATGTGATGTTCTAGAGCTCCCCAGGCGGCTCCTGACACAGCTGTGGGAAAGCACGGCTATGAGAAGACTTGATGTTAAACAAATAGACCTTTCTTTAAATGGGAACTAATGGGATAAGAACTTAAATGTAACTAAAAAAGCTCACTTGTTGCTCTCTCCCATCTACTATCAGCATTTGTCGAATTCCTTTTAGGCAACAGGTTAAAAACTAAGTCATTAGTTGCTAATTTCATTATTTATAATTTTGGAGCTTGGCAGTGATGAGTGGTTCTTTTTAGAGTTTGGAATAAAAGGTCATTTTTAGCTTACCATTCTAGGTTCTGTTTGGCTTGCTTAAATGAATGTAAGAATCCATATTCTTCTATAACAAAGCCCTAATATAAATGTTACTAAGTAAAATAACACAGTGTATTTACAAGATACTTTTAGAATTTCCAAATCTATAAATTAACCTAGTGACTTCAAGAGAAAAACGTAAGATTAAGAGACTCTGTCTTGGTTCTGTATTACTAACATTATTAGCCAAATGAATAACTGAGACTTGAATGAGTAAAACTTTCCTTACTGCTCCCCAAAAATCTAGTACATATTGGGCATGAAGATGAAATTGACAACTTGCCAACTCTGCAGGGGAATGATTTTTTTTTTTTTATCTTTTATTGTCTTTCAGAAGTTACAGTCCCACCCCACAGTCATGCTTTTTGCACTTATCGCACTGGAAAAGTTTGCACAGACAAGTAGGTATAGTGACTTCTTGCACTAATGATCTTCTGTATGGGTTGTTAAAAATCTTGTTTTTCTTAGTTACTGGATGAGTCTACACTTCGAACCCCATCAGGCAGGCATACATTCTGTTTTTGCCTGGGTAGACACTTTTTAAGGCTAGTGAAGTATAACAGGGTCAAAGGCAAGGATTTTCTCACCTAAGAATCAAAACTTCGTAACCATGATTACTCACTCTTTTTTTTTGTCGAGACAAGGTCTTGCTCTGTTACCTGGGCTAGAGTGCAGTGGCATCATCATAGCTCACTGCAACCTCAAACTCCTGGGCTGAAGTGATTCTCCTGCCTTAGCCTCCCGAGTAGCTGGGACTATAGGTGCGTGACCCCACACCCGGCTAATTTTTCTAGTTTTTGTTGAAATGGGGTCTCACTCTTGCTCAGGCTGGTCTCTAACTCCTGGCCTCAAGTAATCCTCCCACCTTGGCCTCCCAAAGTGCTAGCATTATAGGTCCGAGCCACTGTGCCCGGCTGATTACTCACTTTTTATAAGCTAAAAATTTTGTGATGAAATTGCTCTTCGAGAAAATAGTCAAAGCTATGTCATTCCTAGAACTTTTAATGAAAGTCCATTCTACTCTTTAAGTTCTCTAATTGCCTCTTCTCGTTCCTTACCACCACTAATCTACCCAGCAAATCATCCTACTCTTTCATTGTTAATTCAAGGATTACCTCTTTCCAAACAGGTGAAAATAAATTGACTATTTCTGAGTCCAGTATTAGCAACCGGCTTGTCACATTGGAGTCCTGGGCTGATGATCCTGATTATCTGAAACGTCAAGTTGGTTTCTGTGCCCAGTGGAGCTTAGACAATCTCTGTAAGTGGGAGTTGTCCTTTATTGAAATGTTTGTTTCCATTTCCAAACACATTTCTTTATAAGCTCATTGATCTTCCTTTTGTAATGGTGAGTGTGGGTCCTTATAAGGTCCCCACTGGTAGGTTGGATGTACTCTAGCAAAAAAGTACCCTAGAGACCTTTCAGACAAGACTTATGTGGAATTCTTAGAACACTTATAATTCCAGTATTCTCCTGTTCAAAAACCTTTACTGGCACCCTATTTCCTGCTGCATCAAGGCCCTTCATTATATGGTACTATCTAACCAGCTCTTGCCTACACAAACTCTCTCTCACTGTCCTATAAACAGGTCCTGATGATTCCTACCTCTGGACATATTTCCCTCACTTGGAATTCCCTTTCTTTTATCCTCTCCCTATCCCAACTTTGCTCTTCAAAACCCAAATCATGTCTTACCTACACCATGAAAGTTCCTGACTTTTTCTTTTTCTCCTCCAAGGGCTGCTGGTACAAAAACTACTACAGGTTGATCTTTTATCCAAAATGCTTGGGACTAGAAATGTTTTGGATTTTGAATTTTTTCAGATTTTGGAATATTTGCAATTATCAGGTTGAACATTTCTTTCGAGCATCATGTCAGCACTCAAAAAGTATCGGATTTTGGAGCATTTGGATTTCAGATTTCAGATTGTGGGTGCTCAACCTATACTATTAATACTGTATCCTCAGCCCCCCCTCCATCGTTAGGAATTGTGTTAAAACACAGTTGGACATGTAACCCCCAACTCCTACCCCAATATTGTGGGGAGGAGCTTAGTACAGTCAGTGAAGTGCCAGTTAAAAATAATTCTGAAAGAGTGCAATTTGGATTATGTTTCATGCAAAACAATAGCTATAAGGAATGGAAGCATAAACCTAGCAGTGCTGCCTTTCCTAGCATGTGCTTGATTAGTCTTCATATGGTAGCACAGCAACAAAGCTAAGAATATAAGTCCTCCCACCTATTCTGCCATTCATAAGCACCTCCACTCCTTGGCTAGATGGCAGCCAGAGATTGTACTAGCTTTTTGTTGTTGTTGTTGTTCTATAGCAGCCTGCCTTAGAAACATGACCACTTTGTCTTTTGCAGTTTTAAAAGAAGGTAGACAGCTGACCTATGAGAAAGTGGACTTGAGTAGTATTACGGCCATGCTGAATAGCAACGATGTCAGCGAGTACCTAAAGATCTCACCTCATGGCTTGGAGGTAAAGCTTCCACAGATGGACCCTGGGGGCAGGGGGCAGGAATCGTTTTGCTCTCATTTTCACATCCTACTTCTGAACAAAAGCGATGTCTTACCAGAATAGGTGGAAGTTTATTTCGTACTTGAAGAATGGTTAGAGGTAGAAGTGGTGGGAGAGAGGGTGTTTGAGGCCATTATCTACTCTTCTGTATCCCACATGGTACTACACCTATTGTGAGCATTATACTGTTTTTACTGACTGGTTTAAGTAAATCTATTTTTAATCTCTGCCATTTTATTCAGCTAAAGATACAAAGACCAGTGTTTCAAAAGAAGCCCTTCCTTTTTTTAATCCTTTCATAACCAATTGTTGTAGGTCTGGTGCTTCCCTTTCTCCCTGTGTGTTAGAAATGTTGCTGATTTTATGGGGAAGGTTGATGAAAGAGCTGCTTATGTACAGGAAGGTACCATAAGGCACTAGACATGTCAGGATTAAAGAACTGTTTCAAGAAGGGCTACAAACAGTTCTCTGATCCTGTGTGTTGCCAAATGCCTTATATAGTTTTCTGCTTTAGATTGTATTTCAGTACCTTGTCTTATGTCTTCCTCTTCCCCATCAGCTTAAAGCAATGTTTGTACATTTCTAAAAGGTTCTAATATGAAAGCAAAGGACTGTAAGTACTTAAAAATGAAGCCAGTGGCCTTGACTAATTGTTACTACAGCCATCTTTGAGGTCTTCTAAGCTTAGCACCAACCCTGTTAGAACTCTCTGGAAATAAGACTATAAAATAGTCCTGGAATGTACTTCATTTAGTTTAATACTTTTTGTCACAGAAGATGGACCAAGGAGGAAACAATAGTCCACCGAAAGCTTTAATAAGGAAGAATACACTCAACCTTCCCAGTGGTCAGTTATCTTTCGTGGTCTTTGGGCACTGATGGTGTATTGTCATGCTCTTTGGTTTTGCCAGGCTCGCTGTGACGCCTCCTCTTTTGAAAGCGTGCGTTGCACCTTTTGTGTGGATGCAGGGGTGTGGTACTATGAAGTAACAGTGGTCACGTCTGGTGTCATGCAGATTGGCTGGGCCACTCGAGACAGCAAATTTCTCAATCACGTGAGTACCCTGAAGAACTGTGCAAATAGGGGCAGCTGCAGTTTTTTTTTGTTTTTTTTTTACCCCTGATGGATGGGTGGAAGATACTTGCGTATGATTATTTTTCAAATAGATTGGCTCAATAATCTTTTCTTGGGCTGAACCACATGGTGCCAGATCCCTAACAGTGGTTTGCTAAACTGATTGAGAAATAGGAAAACACAAGTGAAATTACCTCTCAGCCTTTTTTTTTTTTCCTTGAGTTTTAAGTTCACATTAATTTTCCACCTAGAGGTTAGAAGGGTGCTTTGTCTTTGCCGGCTCTGCTCCAGCCCCCAGCCACGGTTTTGGCTCGGTCCTTATATTCAAACTAGTCCTGATTATTACCTTGAGTTTAAGTTTTAAGAACTTCGTAGGAATTCTCTTCCTTTCAAAAAGTACTAAATGTTGGCTTAACTTCTCTCACTTGATTTTTACTTTGTAATTAGTTGGCATGTTTGTTTTCAATATTTAATATTTAGGCTGGACAATGGTGGCTCACGCCTATAATCCTAGCACTTTGGGAGGCTGACATGGGAGGATTGCTTGAGACCAGGAATTTGAGACCAGCCTGAGCAAAAGCGAGACCCCGTCTCTACTAAAAATAGAAAAAGTAGCTGAGTGTGGTGGTGCACACCTATAGTCCCAGCTACTCAGGAGACTGAGGCAGGAGGATTGCTTGATCCCAGGTGTTGGAGGTTGCAGTAAGCTATGATGACACCACAGCACTGTATTCTGGACAACAGAGCAAGACCCTCTCTCAAAAAACAAAAAACAGTATTCATCTTTTGTTATAGAAGGCTATGATATAAAAGGGAAAATTAAACCCTAGAGTAAGCAGGATCGGGCTACCACTACCTGAGTGTGAGAGAAGTTGGCGTTCCTCCCTTCCCGACAGATGTATGATTTCTTGCCACTTTATTCCCTTCTGACACCTAGCCCAATTGGCTTTCTTCTGTTGGCCAAATTATAAGATGTTTAGAATTAATCCAGTTTTGTTCAGGGATATTTTGTGTTCATATGATTTTTACCATTTGAGCTTGGAAAAGCTCCTTGGATTAGTTTGTTAGTCTAAATAATAGTCCCCCATCAAATATGTAAGGTCCTAGGATGAATTTCAGAAGTGATCCACCTTTGCTTATGCCTGTCATAAGCATAGTTTTTTGTTGTTGCTTTGAGACAGGATCTTGCCCTGTTCCTTAGGCTGGCTTCAAACCCCTGGTCTTAAGCCATCCTCCTGTCTCAGCCTCCCAAGTCACTGGGACTACAGGCATGTGCCACCATGCTAAGCTTATGAGCATAGTTTCAAAAGGACCCTTTGAACAAGGCTATATTGTACACTGGAATCGTTTGTGGCGTTTTACTAAAACTGCTAGGCTGGGGAGAGACAAATTGGAGGAAAAGGCCAGTGAAGCTGAATCATTTCATCTGCTATGCGAAACTGTAGTTTCTGCCTTAATAGTTGCAGACCTTTGGTTTCTCAAGTTAAGAGGCTTAAAGTCTGTTTTCTTACCCTCCAAATCGCTTAAAGACCGTTGGTTGCCTCTAAAAACAAACATTTTTCTCTGATCTAAGTACTAGTGGATTCCCTGTTAGAAATTGGTGAAGTCTAACATGTGTTTTCCCAAATAGAGGATTTTAATGATGTTGCCAAACTTACAATGTTGCTTCAAATGGACATTGTTCTGCTGATTCTGAATCTTTTTGCCTGTACAGACAGGGTATGGTTTTATGGAATAAGTCATTCCTAGGGTACACCCAGTTTTAAAAGATTTGAAGTCTCTCTATAGTGCCTCTTATTTTAACTCTTACTGTTTAGGTTTCAGTTTTGAAAGGATGATCAAAGTGTTCGGCTCAGAGATAGATCATTAAAATGTGAAGCTTAAAGATAGTTGTCAGAGTCCACTGCTCAAGACCTCTTGGGCGTGGCTCCGGGTCGTGGTCCTCAAATTTGGCACAGAGTAAATCTCTTTAAAATTAAAAAAAAAAAAAAAAAGATAATTGTCATTCAGGTCACCTACAGAATAGTTTGTCTTGTTGTGTTTTATATTTTTATGGAGGTTTGGGAAAAGCAAGTCTCCAGGAATGTACTCTGAGTTACCTAAAACAGCTTTTGCCTTTTCTTGAGCATCTAGCACGTGACAGGTCTTTCACGTATTCAGCTCTAACCTTTTTGAGAGTTCGGAAAGGTATTATTCTCCCATTGAAAGATGAGGAAAATGAGGTTCAGAGAAATTAAGAACCTTGCCCAAAGCCACCTAGCCTTCAGCTGACGGAGAAGATTTCAAGCCCTAGTCAGGACAGTTCCTTCCCCTGTTGAAGCATCCAGCCTTGGAGGAATGACCTGGAAGCCTGTTTGGGGCAGAGGTGGGACGGTGGGAGACACAGGGGTGGCAAACTATTGAGGGTGCTTTAAGACAACTTCAGGGCCAAGAAACAGGAAGTACAACAGCCACTGTTTTAGGAGAATGATCTGACCAGGATGCAGCCAACACTACTACTGTGAGTCAGTCCTAACCATTCCTCTCTGGGTCACTTACACCATACTGAGTATTTGTTGGGAGAGTCCAATTAGCCAAACCTGGATCATATCTTACCCCTCCACTTCCAGGAGGCAGAACATTACCTTTATTACATTCCCCATAACAGGAAGAGGTCGGGGTGCTGTACAGCAGAATAAAGGACAGTGTCCACCACATGGGGAAGAGACTCAAAATATTCCTGAATGACAAGCTATAGGTAGACTTCCTTTTGTTTGTTTTTAGCAGTGTTTCCTAAGCCAAAATATACATGACCAGAAAACAGGCAGTTCAAAATAATCATTTCAAATACCAAACTAGCTACCTCGTTCTCATTTATCTGTCCCAGTCAAAGGAAATGGAAGTTAATCATACTGGGAATGTTTCTGAGCTGAGACAAGGTATAGTACATCAAAGTTGCTCTTTGAGATGTAAGCTCAAAGGGATTTATAAAGTGCATTTCTGCTAGGCAGAGGCACCTACTTCTTAGATCTGTAGAAGTTGGTCTGTGGTTATTGGCGTTCATTCCCTCTTTGTCCCACAGTGCCACTCTGTTGTGGAATTCATCCAGGCGTCAAAGACATTGCATAGCAAAGAATGTGTAATGAGTCTGATCCTTAACAACTCTTGGTGGCTAGGAATCTTCTAGGAATATCTTTCCAGTGTTCTGTCAAGGACTTTCTAGGACACTGGAAATTGTAAGACAAAAAGAATTCTTGCCTTTTGCCTAGGCCCCAACACCCAAATTTCAGTGATTTTTAAGTTTCTTACTTACTGACTTGTTCAGCCTTTGCAAAGGGTAGCAAGGCGGTCTTTCTAGACTGGTGAATTTCTAAGGCAATCAAATGCAAATTCATTTAATTTTTGAATAGTATGAATAGTGTGTATCAACAGCTATTTCAGAAGAGTCACTTTGAACAACATTCATCCAAATTCAATATATTGTAGCCCAAGAATTCAATACATTGTGGTTGAGTTTGTCAGAACTTTTTCCCAGTCTGTCTGCCCCTGCATTGTTTACGCCATAGATAAGCAGGCCATCAGGACTGAGCTCTTACTTGGTTTTGGCCCACATTTTCAATTCCTTTCTCAGCTAAAGCTTTTCACCATTGACCTTTAAAGATAGCAATTGTTGCATTTACATGCTTCTTCCATTTCTTCTATTTTTTTATAAGCACTCAAAATAATTTCTTAAAAATCCCATCCACTCTTTTATTTTATTTTATTTTTTTTGAGACAGATTCTGGCTTTGTTGCCAGGCTAAAGTGTTGTGGCGTCAGCCTAGCTCACAGCAACCTCAAACTCCTGGGCTCAAGCGATCCTTCTGCCTCAGCCTCCCAAGTAGCTGGGACTACAGGCATGCACCACCATGCCCGGCTAATTTTTTCTATATATGTATATTTTTAGTTGTCCAGATCATTTCTTTCTATTTTTTAGTAAAGATGGGGGTCTTGCTTTTGCTCAGGCTGGTCTTGAACTCCTGACCTTGAGCGATCCACCCGCCTTGGCCTTCCAGAGTGCTAGGATTACAGGCGTGAGCCACCGTGCCTGGCCCACTCTTTTATTTAACAATTCTGTGAAATAATTGAAAGGCAATAAGTAATAAAAGAAAAATCTGCCAAGAACTTGTATGGTGTTCAATTTGAGCTGATCTCAGAATAGCTTTTAAATGAGAGTCTACTTTAACCTTTCTCTTGTATCCACTTTTGAAATCTCTACACATTTGGGTGTTTTGAAGTCTACTACATTCAAGAAAGTTGTTTGCCTGGTCTGATCTTGTACTGAGTGAGGTACATGTGTACTGATCTTGGAATCAGAAGAATTTAGGTCCAAACTTGGCTCTACTTCTTTTAGTAATGTGTCTTTGGGCAAGCTGGTTGACCTCTCTGAGCCTTTGTTTCCTCTTAAAATGAAGTATAATTCCACCAGCCTGATGGTGGTTAGTGAGAATTAAATGAATGAACAAATGTGAGAGTGCCTGGAACAAAGGAGGCACTTGGCAAATATTTGTTGGTGAAGTCATTATCTATTCACTTGGAATCCAGCCTCTAGATCATAATTTTAGTTATCTTCCAAAAACCATAAGCTCTTGCTTCATCCAAAAGGCTTGGAATTCCAGCCATCTGGTTAATGGTCATAAAAGATATACTGTCTCTTCCCAGATCAGAGCAGGCAGAGCTTTGCTAATCTTCCGGGCCTTGTCTCTCTCCAGGAAGGCTACGGCATTGGGGATGACGAATATTCCTGTGCATATGATGGCTGCCGGCAGCTGATTTGGTATAATGCCAGAAGCAAGCCTCACCTACACCCGTGCTGGAAAGAAGGTATTCTTTCTTCTCCATCATGACTTTATCAACTGGGTTAAGACATCTGGTTATTATGAGACATTTATTATTTTGGGCCTTAAAATGTCTCAATGGAGGAAGATTAAATGTGAAAAGGATGTTAGCTAGCCATTGTAGTAGCACTGCCATGGATATGAATGGTATTCTCCTGATAAATTCACCTCTGATGGAGTCCTTCCTGTAGCAAAAACATTTCAGAATATAAAATTCTTCAATTAGTGGGAAAATGATACTGTGAATTCTAGTTTCCTCTTTTCGTCTGTGTTTTGAATCAGAGCAGCCATGGAGGTCTCAGGGACACTGGAATTGTAATGTCACTAACATGAAGATATTTTCAGAGGCAAGATGGCTGTGGAATAGGTAGTATTCATTGGCCATGCTCTGAGAAAGTAGGGTCATATGGTAGCAGAGGGAACATCTGGAAGGATTTTATTCCCAGCATCAAAGCTAAATAAATATAACCCAGCTCTTTCTCCAAGCATCCCTCCCTTCTTTTCTTACCCTATTCAGCATTATGGATATAAACTGAATTTTTAGGCATGCTAAGGAAGCAGGAATCTGACCACCCCCATGTGGGGACAATTCCATTTGATTAAATTTATAGTGTGGCAAAGGGGGAAAAAAAATCTGAAAAGCCAACATTTAACAAAGCATAAGATAGAGGCACTGTTTTCAAAAACTATCTAGGTTTTTTGGTGGTTTTTTGTTTGTTTATTTTTTTGCCTTTTTTTTTTTTTT